GCTTCGAAATGACCTGCCTGCCCTTGGCCCGTGGCTGTGGTTCGTGCCAGATCGTCACCGGCAGCTTTGACAAGACCGCGAAGCTCTGGGATGCCAACACAGGGCAGTCGGAGCCCAAAGAGGCAGCAAGCTCAAGGGAGAAGCACCTCTCGCCTCAGCTGAAGGTGCATTCACACTCTCAAGGGCCACCACACGGAGATTGTCTGTGTTGCCTTCAATGTACAGGCGCTTGGCGTCTCTTGCGAAAAAGCGATGTTTTCCGCGCTTGGCAGGGCACGCATGTTGCGACCGGCAGCATGGACAACACGGCAAAGCTCTGGGATGTCTTGGCCTCAGTCAGGTCAGGTCGGCCCAGGAGGCCCAGTCTGCGCGAACAGGTGGAGACCGGCCATCAGATCGCTTCCCTGGATGGTCACTCTGTCCGAGACTTGCAGGGCCGCAGGGCCTAGGCCCGCCGGGCACGCCGGGATCACTGCTCTGTGCGCAGGCCGAAATAGTTTCACTGAATTTCAACACCGACGGGGACAAAATTCTCACCGGTTCCTTTGACAACACCGCGAAGGCCAGCCGTGCGTCCTGCCGCAGCAGCTTTGCAACTCTTGCCTGGATCTGGCCAGGTTTGGGATGTGCGGAGGTGTGGTGTGAGATCTTGTGGATGTGGAGAAAGCATGCTGCCGCATAAACAGATGTTCACTTCACTTCACATTCCTGTGCAGTGGGCGGTGTGTGCACACTCTTGCTGGCCACCGCGGGGAAATCTCCTCGACGCAGGCTGGCAATGTGTGATGTGAAGCTTTCGGCACGACTGTCATTCAGCTTTTGCGCCTCAGTTTGATTTCACTGGAGATTACTGCATCACTGGAAGTATTGCCAGCATCTCAGGTCTTGTCATGTGTGGCACGTGCTCTCAGTGACCACAACATGCGCGGTTTGTGTGAGGACCGCACTTGCAAACTCTGGGACGTTAACAACGGGCAGTGCATGGAGACCATGCGCGGCCATTCAGACGAGGCCTGTGAGACAGAATGCTTTCGACCACGGCAGCTGTCACCTCAGAGCGACCCTGACGCAGAGCAGGTCCTAGATGTGTGCTTTAACACAACTGGCAATCGCGGGCTGCCCAGACAGAGAGAATGCTCCGCAGCGGCGGATGCAGCTGCTTGTGCACTTGGCCGCTTCAAGGCCTCGTCACTGCGTCTGCGGATTGCACGGCTCGAGTTTACAACGTTCGAACCCCACGTTGTGCACGCGGTGAAACGCAGTGAAAGCGGAGAAGCGCAGCGGAGACGTTGACTGAAGGTCATGACCGGCGCTTGCATATCTATCTTGATAGGCCATGAGGGCGAAATCTCCAAGGTGCCGCAACCCAGCTCATTGATAATTGTACTGTGCCGAGTTGGCATCAGGTTCAGTTTAGCCCGAATGGATACAAGATCATCACGGCATCCAGTGTGTGAGACTCAACAGCCCGTCCGTCAGCCGGTGCCCTGACTATCCGCTTCGCTAGGATCGCACCTGCCGCTTATGGTCTGTCGAGACTGGCGAGTGCCTGCAGGCGAGTCCGCGCGCTTTTCACGGATTCGGTGTACGTCGTATACGGTTTCACCAGACTACTTCGAGCTTGTGCAAAGGTCTTGGAAGGACACAGCGATGAAATCTTCTCGTGTGCTTTCAACTACGAAGGCGACACAGTCATCACTGGGTCCAAGGACACACCGTCAAATGGCCCTTGTTCGTTTCGATGAAAGTCTCCGGCGCCAGGACAACACCTGCAGGATTTGGAAAGATAACTTTTTCACTCCGGCCGACGAGGATGATCAGCGGCTTGGATCATAACGTAACCAATGTGTTTTGGGATTTGACCGGGCTCAATGCTTTGCTCCTAAGGTACGACCGGTATGAAGATTGATGCCTCTGAGCTTGTGGGCTCGGGCCTGCTGCGTGCCATGCGCGGCCAGCTTTCTGGCCGGAAACACAGAATCGGCCGACGAACACAAAGGACAGCTCTGTGGGGTTCGGCTCAGGCATTGGAGAGTTCGCCCCTTGGTGTCGCATGGAGACTGCCAGTCGCACGGCCCAGAAGAGGCCCAGCGAGAAGGGCCTGAAGGTGCATGTAAAATGCATGAAAAGGGCGAACTTCGAACTTCCAGCATGACAATCTGTTCATCGAACTTCCTTGCTTCGTGCAGAATGCCATGAGAGTGCCTGCTTCCTTCGACACCGTTTCTGGCTGCAAGCAGACTATGGATGCTGGGCGACACGAGCATGTGTGGATCACAGAACACCCGCATAATAGTCAATGTCATCTTCCAAGTCAGAGTTGCTAATCCCTTCGACAGCAGATCCGCTCCTGGTTCCAGGCTGAGTTGAAGCCACGGATACTGCAGCAAATCATGGTATGACGTCGCGCATCGCAGGTGACATGAATGCGAAGGCAGAGGCCAAACTCGTCGCATCACTGCCTCCTCTGATTTCACAGAAGCTCCTCTCCAGAACGTTGGAGTGTACGAGCCGGCTTGGCTGATCAGCATAAAGGGGGTCCCTTTGGAGGGATCTCTCTGTTCCAATCTTCTTGGATTGTTGTCACTCTCATGTCTCTCTTCGGTTTTGTCACTTCAGTCCAGAGTCTACGGCCTACGGTGGCAGGCAGGCGCAAGTTTGTAGCGGATTACAGGCATTGTTGCTCCAGAACCTTGCTTCCTGAATCAGCCGAACAAGTTGAGCGACTTTCCGTCCAGGGACCTCAGAATCTCAATCCTCATCGTAAAGGACTCTGAGAAAAAGGGAGCCTCCCAGAGCCGCTTTGCCTTCGTAATCCTCGAGAGGCGGAGCATGATCCCACGGCGGCAGCCTCTGAGGACGCGGGCGCGCGGACGCGGGCGCGCGTGCGCGCGCGCTCAAAAGAGCCCCCACGGCCCGGTCGCGCTCCGCCTCGTCGAGGTCCGGACCTTCACCAACTGGCTGGCCGAGATGAAGGCGAGCGGCGGAAGTCTCTGCTCTCTCGCTCTCTCTCGTCTCTTTCAGGTCCAAAACAACAGGACCGTGCAAGAGATCCTTTCCGAGACGCGATGGGCTCTGTCAGGATGGCAGGCGCTAAGATGCAGATTGCGCCGCGTGGTCCAAGGTCCATCATCCGCGACAGCATAACGGCGAACAACATGGAGCTGACAGACTTCAAGCGCCATTCAAGCAGTGCTCGGGCTCGGCGGGCTCGGCGGGCTCGGGACGGCTCGGGTACAGCCGGGCAGTCGAAGCCGATCGCAGGTATTTCCCAACAGATGCAGCGGCCGCCCCAGCTGCCCGAAGCCAAATTGCCGAGGTTGAGGCCCTCTCTGATAGAAAGGTCTCAGCTCACCGACCTGCGGGAGAAGCTGACCAGTGCCTTCGGGGAAATCACGGCTTTAGTCAAGCAGAAGCCAGGGCCTCGGCCCGCCCCCTCTGAGCCGCTGAGCCGTTTTCTCGTGCAGGACACAATCCGACTCGGAGATGATGCAGGATGCTGGCGATTCTCGCGCCGTGCGCTACGTGCCAACTACTTGCCAACTCGTTGTGGAGGATGTGAACACACTGCAGCAGAACCTCTCGCAGAAGACCTACGAGCTCGAAGCTCTCAAGAAATCGTACTCCCAGGTGCGGAATTGCCAAGCATTCTGTGACCTCAGGCTTTCAAGACACTCCACACAAGTACCAGCTGAGCATCCAGAACATAACATTGACTGCCTAGTCACACTTTGCAAGCGACTAGGGCTGACACTGGGTCCCGACAGCTGGCAACACTGAACCGGGCTTTCCGCTAGACTCATAGAGATCTGGTACATGCACTGCCATGGTACTCGCTGCTATGCCCGGATATTGATCAACAAGCTTTCCCGTGTTCACTGAGATGCATTTGGTGATCACTTGTACACGTCCCGAGCATCTAGCTGTGCCTTGGAATTGTCTTGATACAGAGATGCATGTTGCGCCGCGCGGTGCGGCATGTGGGGCACGGGTGGTTTGTGTAATTACTCGGCAAAGCACACCTCTTGAGTGACCTTGGATACGGAGGGCGAGTGACGTATGCCGTGCTGCCACTCCTGGTTTGTAAGACTGGTGTTTCTGTCATCATTGTGTTCACTGGTTATGTCGGCATTTCGATGTCAGGAGGAGGGCACGCCAGCAACGGGTGGTCCCCACAAAAACAAGAAAATGTGATGCTCATGCCGGGCTGGCAGGCGCACCAGCACTTGCAAAGCTCCCTCATCCAAATGCAGCCTGGAACACAGCTGTTGATGCTGTAAGAGCCTCGGTTGCTGCACTTCTTGCGAGGAACCATTTGCAAGTCACTCAGAATGAGGTCCAGGATGCAATACGCCCTGCTTCTATTGCTTGGACGGGTGTGCTTTGACAGGTGAGTACGGCCAAGTCTTCTTGTGAGCGTGTGCCCGTGCTGCAGTTGGTCTGCGTTGCAACTGTTATGTCAGATGTATGACCTTGCAAAGGAATCAGTTTTTGGGATGCCTCCAGCTTCATAACACTGGATCTTGAAACATTAAGGGAATGTGCGGCTTTGTCCGTAGCAAGGTGCAGCGGGAAAGCACACAACGGTTCTCGCAGCTGGAATCCAGCCTCAAATCGATGACGGACCTGGCTTTCATCGCTGTCTTTCCCCTTTGTGGTCTCTGCATTTTATTCCCGTCATGAGGAGGACTACAGCCGCGGGACAGGGGAGGTGCATAAGCAAATGCGGCAGCAACTCGGATTCGCAACAAGCTCCACGAGCTACAAGAGGTTTCGAGCGACAGTGCCACCGCAATTTATTCGTGCACGTCCGCGCTTCCATCTCCTTTTTCGGCTCACGACGTGCAGTGTCTCCAGTGCTCTGCTGGGTGCCACCGTTCCCGGAAGACGCTTGAGCCTTCGTAGCTCTTGACACAGAGAAGCCAGAGTGACATCCCTGACTCTTGACATACTCGCAGCTTTCGAGAGTTCGATGGAAGGATGTGACTTCATGTCTCGCAATGGAGCCGGACCAGTCGGATCCGCGGGGGAATCCTTCGGCGAGGGGGTCGAACTGGAGAGAATGGCATCGGCCTCGGCGGGAAAAGGAAAAGTCAGGACCAAGCTCTCCTTTGTCCCCTGTCAAGGTCCGGGCGGGAAGATGGAAGCGAGCAATACAAGCCACCCGAGCATGACGGACGGTTCACACATCTTAGTGCTTTCCTTGCAGCAAGTCAGGTTTGGAGACTTGTCCCGCGGTGTCCTGCAGCAGGTGCAGGCGCCGGTGATTTGTGTCTAAGCTCTGAATTGAGAGAACCTTGCATTCAGGCTGGCATGCGCGACCTGAAGCACAAGGTGGCGGACAAGGCCTTGTCCTTGAAGGAGTCACCCGAAGAAGTAGCTTCCACGCGCTCCTGCTGCGTATCACAGCACAGGAGGAGCATGAGAGCAAGGCTGCCGAGTACGTCCGCGAACTGGTGGCCGCTGCGATGCAAGCGCCAGTTGCAGGGGCATTTTTAATTTCTGGCATGCTCCCCATGGCTATGTCTCATCTGAGGCTTCTGACGAAAGCCAGGAGGCACAACACGTCGTCTCCGTGGAAGAGTCGAAGGCGACCACGACGGCGGAGCGTTTCTGGACGAGGCTTTGCAAGGACCGAGAACATCGAGCCTTTCGAGATCGCTCGTGCCTTGTGCTAATGCTGTTCAGGATGCACACACGGATCACGGCAGCGAAGAACCGGTTGCAGATCCTCTCAGCTGTGGAACATTGCAGGTCCAGGCCGTGCTCAGACATAGGTTTGATATTGACCATCCTTCGAGCATTTGCTTTGTGGGCATATTGCAGGTGCTGAGGCTTGGCTCTCCGGAGCTCCTCAAAGCGGACGGGAGCCTTGGAATTTGGACCTTCAAAACTCCCCGCCTTGTGATTTCTGCCTCTGACGTCCTCCCAGGAAGGCGGCCAGAAAACCGGTGCTGCTCCTGAGTCTTCACGGCCGCCGCAGCGGCGCTCTCCGGGAAGGCGGCAGCGCAACCTTCGAGGCTCGGAAAGTGCAGGATCGCGTGCGAAGAGCCGGCCAGGCACCTGATTGGAGAGAGAGAGAGAGAGAGAGAGAGAGAGAGAGAGAGAGAGAGAGAGAGAGACTGCTCCAAGCTGCGTGCCAGCAAGAGACCAGGGGGATGGTTTTTCCAATGTATGTCTCGTTCTTTCACACGTCCTGGTCATGTGCCAGTTTCGAAGCCCACTGTCTCCACGATTTTCATGCAGTTGATGTCATGTCTATAGTCTCTATACCAGCATCACTTCTTTCCTCTTTATGAGTTGTTGCCCTGAGGCTCTCAACTGTCTGTTCGCATCTCCCGACAAGACCCCGAAACAGGGGTTTTCCCCTCGGCTCGGCTCGGGGGACCCGACCAGTCCCTCCATATTTCCGGAGAACAGAACAGGGAGCAATTTCACAGACACAGCCCCATACCATGTGAGGTCGGCGCTGGGTTGAGGTCGTTCCTCCACATCTTGCCCTTGCGAAAGAAAGTTATGCAGACTCACACTCAGCACATACCAAAACGGGGCACTTGAAAGTGTTAGATAACTTTCTGCTGCGAGTGGCGACTGAGCGGTTGCCGTGTCAGCAGCTTTAGAGTCGTGTTGCCTTGATGTTGTGTTGCACCGTGCGAACATGCTGCTGGTTTATTGACATGCTCCCAGCCGCCACCGGCAAAGGAGCACCGGCTGGGCCGGAGGGTCAGATCAAACGCTGCGGGCCACAAGTTCCAAGTCATGTAGCTCACCGTTCTTGGACACCCTCTTGTCCATTCAGCCCCCCCACCCCCCCAATCCAGGGTCTCATGTTCGATCCATAGTTCTGCACAAACTTCCGGCTTTTGTAACATCACAATGACGTTTTCCTTGTCTCTCTTATGGAACTCCTTGTGGCAACCTATGTCGACAACATTCTCCAACAGGCCAACTGCCGTAAACTCGTGGTTCTCCTCGAACTGGTTTGCTGCCTCAACAAGAAATCACGTAGCCCGCTTCATCCTCGTGCTATTTCCCGAAGCCCAGCGACACCACGATGCATAAATATTCCTTCACAACACTCTGTACGTCCTCGCTTGTGCTTCACCTGTACGGTCATCAAGCATACAGACAATCTCAACATGGACTCTGGTGACCAACTCTTGTTCTTGTACAGGTCCTTGGCAAGCTTCTCGGCCCGCTCCTCTTAACTGATAAAAGGTGCTCGCCATAACCGCTAATCGGGTCTTCCTTTTTAGTCTTGCGTCTGGTAGTGGAAGTTCAATTTTTCGAGGCTCCAAATCCACCAACTCATCAACTGCAACCAAATTGGCCTGGAGGTGTAGTACTCCTTTTTCGAGTAAGCTCTCTCGCTCTCTCTCTGTCTGTCTCTCTCTTCTTCCACAAAGACAAGAGGAAAGGACGAACCCTCTCTCTCTCTCTTGTTTCTCAGGCATAACGTAGAGTTCTGCAGGCGTTCATCGAGCCGTGGTGTCAAGACTGAGTGGCTTTTGAGTTCAATCCACGCCGATGGCATGCAGTACAACCATGGCAACCAGCCCCAGTGCTACCCACCTCCGCTACAAAGGCCGAGATGCTTTGGAGTTCGCTGGGTAAGATGTCAGTGCAAGACGATCATGTTGTAGAAGGTCTGGATTCATTGGGCCGCAGGAAGTGGAACTTCATCTACTACAATCGCTCTGAGACCTTGAAAAAGTTCAGAAGGGGTGCACATGATGATCAAGAGCAACGGTGATCACGGGCTGCGGCTTTGGCTGTGAAGGTCATTGACTACAAGAACATGTCGGATGAGCTTGAGGGCGATTTGGAAGTCCTTGGAGCAAGTGCGGGCTGCGCTGCCGATTTGGATGGGCGCGACGGGCAATGAAGTGAACCAGTTGCTCGATGGCACGTTGAGGCCTGTGTTGCCCACAAGGGCTCGTGGTTGGAGAAGCAGGGCAAGTTGAAGATCGTCTCGTCGAAGGCTGTGTGTACTCTTAAGCCGCCAATGTAAGGGCCAGAAGACGCTTTAGGTGTGCGCTCTGCGGCGTTCCGTCGTACAGCTTGTATGCTAGTGGCAGCGGCTAGCACTGGCGATAGCTGCTAGCAAGCGTTGGGCATGCAGGACATCTGCCTTTTTGCCGGCTGCCTCGGAGGAGCTCGCGCAATACGCGATCTATCTCCACGCATGCTCGTGGAGGTAGGCAGCATCGCTGCAGATCAAGTTTGGGAGGTACTCAAACCACTTTGCGAGGATCGTACTTCGTGGCGAGGAACGAGTTTCGACATCGCAGGTGTTTCGGCTAGAAACGAAGTTTCTCTATTGCTATCCCTCGCTCGGTCGGCTAGACTTCTCGTGAGTCAGTCCGTGCGAGGCAGTGATAGCATGACTTGGATTTGGAATGGCGATTACTTGTACGCCCGTCACCATTCTGGATAAAGTCCCCTTTCAGGGGGGTAAATTTGAAGTAGCAGGGGGATAGGGGAAAGGGAACGTGGATAGAATCCACGCGAAATCGGGGAAGCCGCGCTCCCTGTCGGCTACCACCATTGCTTCAGCTAGCTCGGAGACGACCAGGGTCAACGTCCGAACCGCTGTCGGTGCTAGCCCGGTCCCGGCTGCCTAGTCCTGCTGCTCCTCCGGGTAGTCCGACCATCCTGCCGTCCGGACGGCTCGGCGGGATAGGGAGTCCGGTCCTGGATCTCGAGCAGGAGGCGAGCAGCGAGGCCAAGAAGGAGATGCCGGATAGATGTTATGCACCTCTCACAATCACGGCTTTGGCGTGCTAAAGCTTGCCACGCTATGGCTAAGAGGCAGAGTCCATCGCCGGTCAGCTGGCGGACGAGCTCGGGCTGGAGTACCAGCCCTTCGTTGGCGAAGCTATGTATCTATGGATACAGGAGGCGAAGGAGACTGCGGAGCTAGAGGCCGAGTGCAGGGATACCTGGCAGCGCCCGTTATCTGGATGCAGCTGGGCCTTGAGAGGATAGACCTTCAGGAAGATAGCGAGCCGGAGAGGGGTCCCTTCTCCAGGCCCGTGAGGAGCGACTACAGGGCGTCTGGGCGGCTGGTGGATAAGATAGCGCCGCTGGAAAGCCGAAGGTTCAGATACCTACATGAGGGCCTAAGTGCAGCACTTTCGAGGAGACGGAGAACAGCGGCGAGGACAGCGACGGAGAGCTGAGAGCACACTGGTGCAACAGCACCGACCCAGGCAACTTTTAAAGAAGTTTCTGGTCGTTGAGCTCCCCGTGCAAGCGACAGCTCGCAGGCGATGGATTGGAGACGAAGATCTCGCGGAGACTCGGACGAGCCGGCGATACTGCAGAGCAGCACGCCAGCGACATGGGGTTAGCCCCGCAAATAGGTGTCCCACTCCTCCACCCAGGGCTACCACCCTTGGGGTGCCGGAGGATATTGCTAGCCACGGCGAGGGGAAAGGATAGTGATAGCGCATTGGGCCGGGGCACCTGGGCCCTCCTTTCGTGTTTGGGGGGCGGGGAGGGGAAAGGGGGAGAAAGAAGAGGACGGAGTTGCACTTGTGCTTGGTAGAGGGCTAGTGCGCTGTTGCTTGTGGTAAAGGGCTTGTGTTGCTTCTTGGTAAAGGGCCAGTGGGCAAGGGCATGCGAGCACGTCTGGCGAGTGCATGGCAGCTGGCTAGATCGCACCTTGGCCACTGGCGAGCCCAGAGGTAACGGTGGTGGGCTGGATTGGGCTAGCGCACGCCAGCCATTTAGAGCAAATGCTGCTCGACGAGGTTGGCTTCGGCGAAGATTCCATGGAAGGGAAGGACCATAAAGCTCAAGCTCAATGATGCATCCTGTTTTATAGCTGGCTTTTGACGACGAGGACACGGTACATGCTTAAGGTAGCTTTCTCGCCTTGGTCATCACATACGTGGACGACCTGCTTTGGAGTCCCTGGTGGCTGCTGCTCATGAGTGGGTTCAAAGTAACTGGCCGTGTAGTCCGTTGGAATGGGCCCGAGATCCGAATAGCATGCGATACCGGGAATGGAAGTTTACCAGACAGAGAGAGAGAGAGAGAGAGAGAGAGAGAGAGAAGATAATAGCATACTATTGCTTTGAGATTTCCCAGGAAGGCTACATCGAAGAGCTGCAGCGATCTCACGGAATGGATGACGCATTGGCACCCGTTTGCCATGTCCTAAAAAATGGTTGCCGGAAGGTGAGCCTCAAGCTGATGACGAGACCTACTCGAAGGATGAATTGAAGCTCGCACAGAAGGTCAGACTTGCAGTTTCCTGTTGCATACATGGCCTACAAAGTGAGTCACTACCCAAGCCGGGTGGCAGAAATTGGAAGGAGAATCCTTTCCTACCTTAAAGCCACGAACTCGCTCAAGCTGGTCATGAGAGCCGAGAACAACCAAGAGGATCGATCAAGGGAGTTGGTGGGCTTTTCCGATGCAAGCTTCTTTCCCCACGGTGAAAGGTCGTCTGGGGCCGGTGTGCTGCCAGTGAGAAATTCACCGATAGCATGGAAATCCTCCAAGCGCTGGTGTGTGACTTAACTTTATTGGTTATAAATGCTGCACTTTATGAAGCCACCAACGCGGTTATCCTTCTGGAAATTGCAGGAAGCATCAAATTTTTGGAGGGCAAGGCTAAACATCGGCTCAACGTGAATGATTCGTCAGCCTTCGCGATTGTTCAAGGCGGCCGTGGCAACTGGAGAACCCGTCTTTGGAAATTGAGGAGTGCTGAGCTTACGGACTTGGTGGGGGCGTTGCTCGAAGCACTGAATATGAAGGGCACGTACATGGCTATGTTTGATGATGGCCCTGGCAGCTGCGCAAGGAGATTCATCACCCTCGAAAACCGGCGTTCGGTCGATTGGAATTGATGAATTGACACTGGCGACGATCTCGGTTTGTTTGGTGCTTGCAGATACCTGGCTGGTTTGATGAAGGAGTCCCCCAAGCAGAGCTACGAAAATTGATGCAGCAAAGGCCGCAGCTGAGGAGGAGGTTGAACAGGCCTTTTCAAGAAGGCACCATACGGGGCAGCCGATGAACCGTGCTCGAGTTCAGAAGTTGGCCAGCACCGCCTCCACCACCTGCAGATCCTCAGCCGATTGTTCACGCTTCTTGTAGATCCACAAAATGCGTGATAGAAGTTCCTACAGCAGTTCAACCGAAAGATGACTTCGAGATGATGCCCGAGAAGGCCTACTACAAGACGAACTCATCGAGGTCTAAGTTGTATACGGACCCGCGTTGCCATGGTTTGAGAAACCCTGGAAATGTGTATGCGGTAGAGTGTTGCATGCATGATGAGGCTGGGGACGCAGTACGACCTTTTCTTTAGAGATGCTGGTGGCATGCCGGTCAAGGAGGAGTGTTGAATGGATGCTACCACTGGCATCATGTGGATCAGTGTTGGTCCATGTGCTGTGAAAAATTCCGCATATGCAAGCTTCGCTTGCATGTAGCTGTAAGGTCGTGCATGCGCATGCAGTCCACAGCTTGTGCTTCCTTTTTCTCGTGTGCAGAAAAACCAGTTCGTCCGTGCGCGAGCCATGGGATTGCACTGAACTGAGAACAGTAGCATTGCCGAAACACCTTTTGTAAGCCCAAAGCCAGGACCTGAAGGTCTCCATGAACGTCAACAGCTATCACTTATTGCATGTGCAAGATAATTACAGCGAAACTGCAGCCTGTAGTTCGCAGACCGCGAATGCCATATGCCGAGATATGGACCCATGATGGTTGGGTAGGATGCAGACGCCACTCGGAGTCACTCGCTTGTGCAAGGATTGTGCGGCAATTGACGCTGTAGCCAAGCAAACAGGTTGAGTCTGAATCGTTGCTTGTTCGTCTCACGTGGGCAGAAGACACCCGACGACCAACCAAAGAAACATTAAGATGACGATCATGATGATGATGGTGATCATCGTCCCCGTCATCATCGTTTTCATCATAGGGATGAGTACACCAACCACCCAGAGCAGACCAAGGAAACCGCCGCAAGAAAACCCGAACCCACACCATGCCACAGGGGCGGAGGGGGGAACCACCCCGAGCAGCCCCACCCCCGGACACAGGCAGGGGAAGCAACCCACCACGACACGAAGGAGGTTGCGGGGGGGAACCATTGAGGGGGGTGGGCTGGCCGGACCGGGATCATGTGTAGCCTTGCTAACCTTGTACAAATGTTTTCTGCTGGCATAGGGCCCTTGAGTCTTACCGATACCTTCGCAGTAGCAACACGGCACATAAAGGCTTTTGGATCTTTCGAGCCGAAATCACCGTTTCCAAGCAGCTTGGAATTTCTGTGAAGATGGGCCACACCCAGTCGGAACGCGAGCGGCACATGGCCATCAATCGTGCAACATTCCGAGCAGAGTGCAGTGTCGAAGAGTTCCGTATGGTTTGAGAGAGTTTTGATTAGCTTGGAAAAAGCATTGTGCAGGTGATGGATGTGCTGGGCTCCGATTTGGCAGTTTACTGCTTCGACAGGCTGTTTGGAGTTCTCTGCCACCTACGCATGGCATAGGGACCGAGCTGTCGATCTGTGTGCGAAGGGGAAGTTCCACGTTTGCCATCGGAATGGAAGACCAAGCATTCTGCGGTGGTTGCTTCGTGCCTTTGACTTTGTGCCTCGCCTGGACTTCAGCAGGCTTTGAACTTCGTGCTTTGGCTTTGAAAATGGTCGCACTCTCACGAGCCGGCACACGTGAAGAACTTGCTGGCTGGCTTGTTCCACCTGCAGAGCCACAAGAAGCAGAGATGGCCTGCGCCAACCCTCTGGAAATTGAGCAGGCTGGCAATGTGGATTGGGGGGGCGGCCCAACCCCAGGTTGGAGACTTGCTGCAACCATGCTTCACCTAGTACGTGCCGAGTTATCTGGCTGTTTGACTACTGATACTAATCGCTGACCTTCAGCAATCGAGGCTCGCGCAGCCACATGCCAGACGATTCTGGGATGGCATGCGCAACAGCTTGTACCAGCAAGTGTTTCTCGGTGCATAGCAAAACTGTTGTTGGGAGCAAAGGAGGGGAGTGAAGAAAATTTGACTTCAAACGAGTTCGGGTTCAGGTTCAGCACCGAACTCCGACTTCGTCTGCTGCCGCTCGTGTTGATGCGTGGTAAGGAAAAGCTGGAGCCTGGCGATCTCACCGGTGCTAAGCTTCCCAAGGCCTCCCGACCCGGTCGCCGCGAACTGAACCCTTCCATGGCTGTGAGCCGTAAGCTTTGTCGCTTGAGGTGCAGCCTGGCATCGTCGTGCTGCGACTGACTCTGCATCTCACGAAGTCTCCAGCCAAGCTGTGCTTCCGTCCTTACAGCTCCCGAAAGCCAATCGTGGCCGAACAGAAAGGCTGGACCACGCACATGTCCTGCAAAGTGCACGAGCTTACCAGAGAACTCTGTATGGTGGACAACTTGAGCAAGGTGACTCAGCATGTTCTTACTGGATCAACTTCTCACAGAACTTACCCGTTGAACAACGGAACGCACTGCCGGCAGCTGCACACATACGCCGCAACAGGAGAAAGACTTGGGTCGAGGGCTTCTCAGACCGGAGACTCGTGCCTCTATGCGCGTCGCGTGTCCTCGTTTTCTTGGCGGTTCTTTTGTCGAAGATGTGGGAACATGCTCCGGCTCACCACTTGGGGAGACAACCACTGCACGGACACTGATCGTATCTCAATCGAAAAGCAGGACACACCGGGACACTCGGAAGACTGCGATCCGAGGTAATAACACACCTCTTTTAGACTGAAGCTTTCCGGGCTTGTTGCGCATTTTATTGTTTACTGTGAGGTTTATCTGGCCGGAAAACTTAATTGTGGCTTCTCTTTCTACGGCCGAGAGCTTGTGGTTCCACATATCCTTATGATCAACAGTCAAGGCCATCAATGGGAGCACGTGCTCGACTGTAATGCCGGCCTCACCACCTTACCGTCCACCACCACCACCACCACCACCACCACCACCACCCCCACCATCACCACCACCCCCACCATCACCACCACCAAGACTCCTACTCCGACTCCTGCTCCTACTCCTACTCTGCAGACTGCTACTGCTACTGCTCCTGCTCCTGCTACTGCTGCTGCTCCTGCTGCTGGTGCTGCTACTGCTGCTACTGCTACTCCTATTCCTACTGCTACATACTGCTACTGCTACTGCGACTGCGTCTTCTACTGCTACTGCGACTGCTACTGCGACTGCGACTGCTACTGCTACTGCTACTGCTACTGCTACTGCTACTGCTGCTGCTGCTGCTACCGCTACCGCTACTGCTACTGCTACTGCTGCTCCTACTCCTACTCCTACTCCTACTGCTACTGCTACTGCTACTGCTACTGCTACTCCTACTGCTACTGCTACTACTACTACTACTACTACTACTACTACTACTACTACTACTGCTACTAGTACTACTACTACTACTACTACTACTACTACTACTACTACTACTACTACTACTACTCCTACTGCTACTGCTACTGCTAATGCTACTGCTACTGCTACTGCTACTGCTACTGCTACTGCTACTGCTACTGCTACTGCTACTGCTACTGCTACTGCTACTGCTACTGCTACTGCTACTGCTACTGCTACTGCTACTGCTACTGCTACTGCTACTGCTACTACTGCTGCTGCTACCGCTACCGCTACCGCTACTGCTACCGCTAATGCTGCTGCTGCTGCTGCTGCTGCTGCTGCTACTCCTACTCCTACTCCTACTCCTACTACGACTACTACTACTACTACTACTTCTTCTACTACTATTACTACTACTAGTACTGCTACTACTACTACTACTACTACTACTACTACTACTACTACTACTACTACTACTACTGCCACAATATACATAAAGCAGCAGCGCCAATCTGAAGAGTCATGTTCGCGTTCAGGGAGCCATTTCTACACTGCTCGACATCATGGAAACATCCTTTGTCTGCGAAAGGGCACGTCAGCGACCCCTTCAGCGTTCTCAATGCCGCCGGCAAGGCTGTTGGCCGAATCGGCTTCGCTTTGAAGATGGACCTATGGAAGGCTCGCACATGTGCCAGCCTGTGGCTCTAGTTTTTGCCTCTGGTGAAATTTCTCCATATAAAGGCGGGGATGGGGCAGCAGAGGCTTGGAAACTCTCAGGCCAAGAGGCCAGGAATTAAGGAGTGAAGTTTCTTGCGCATTGCAGCAGACATAGATGTGAATTCGTGAAGTATCGAAAAGAAGCGGTCAATTGATCTGTTAGGTCCTGCATCTTCCGGTCAAGGTTCATTCGTCGGTCTTTTGTAGTAACTGTGCCAACTTTTGCATGTGGTCCGTATTCCACTGCAGTATCTACCGCAGTGCTTGTAAAGCGTGACGAGTTTGAGGTGTTCGTGAGTCACATCTGCAACCGAGCTCGGCCGAGTTTGCGTACTTAGTCAGGCAGCATAAGCAGCATGACTGTTGATTCTTTACAGTGAGCACATTGGTGTAGGTTCTGTCAAAGCAAGCATCTAAGCGTTTGCTGTAGGAAGGATGTTGAGTCACGGTTTTGCTTGTAATTAGGAAACACATGTGAGCTGTCTCTGCACAGGCAGCTGCGGACGAAATGCGTGAAGACTTGGTTGTTTGTCCTCTACTTCTTGCCTGGTGGACGCTGGTGGTGCTTGCGGCGCCGTTATGGAGCTGTTGCATCCCTCAGCACACGCATTTTGCTCAGAGTGTTTGCATACTTGTGGAGAACAGTGTAGCCTCGTCATAGCCGCGAGGATTTGGCCACTGCTGTTGAATTTCATTCTGGTGCTGTTCGCGTGGACACTGGGAGGGTTGAGTTGCCGAGAAGCACACCAAGTGCAACGGCAGCTTTATGTCGACGAGGAAGGTGTTGTGAGCAAGGACGGTCAACGTGTTTTCCTGCACGTGCTGCATCTAACTCTTCACGCAGAAAGTCTGATAACAGGGTTCGTACTCGTCACACTGATATCGGTTCTCCGATGGAGGAAGGCATCGCGCTTCAATGCTTTCCATTTTTCTCTTCTTGTTATGCTCATGCAAGACAGACACGGATCTAAGCCCTTCAGGTAATGTGTTTTCCGTCCTCAGCCAACGCTTTTGGCAGGGCTGCGATGGTAGACGCCTTCTGGTAGGGACTTTACCCCATCTACGTTTGCACTCTAGTCAGTAGGTAGCCTGGTCTCTGACTGCTCCAGTCCGTTGCTTTAAGAACATTTGTGGCAACGAGGTCGCTTGCAGTGTTGGTCTGTTGCTACGGGAAGGTTGTGCTCAGTTGTGCTCTAACAAGTACAGCCTTCTGCTCAAGGCTCCAAAAGCCCTAAGCCCAAATGGTGCCTGCTTGAAGGCTTGAATGCACCTTGTCAGGACTTGGTGAAGGAAGCATTTAAGACACAGCTCAGCATTATGCAGCTTACGGAGACGTTGAACGAAGCAGCTTCGCAAGTGGTCCGGCTCTGAGTGGTATTCGCTTCAGAAGTAGGATTTCGCAGCCATGTCTAGCATGGTGCTGCAATGGTATAGAGTATAGAAGTATAGAGGTCGCAAGGTCCGAGGATCGCAGTGCTGTTTTGAAAACGTGGCGACCCGCCGCTGCTGAAAAGGTCGTTTACTTCATTGTCCCAAGCCTTGAGCAAATCAAGCAATGCATGAGCAGCAACCGGCCAAGGACAGCAAACACTCGATTGTAGACGGACTCGCAAACAGGAGAAGTTGAAGTTCGTTTTCGGGCTGGAAGACCGATGTCTGTGACGCTCTCAGCATGAGGGGCTGTTAACGACTGGCCCTCTTCTGGTGTTCTGACTAGGTCCAGCGTTTGCTTCGTCGTTGCGCTTTTGGCATCACTGGCGCTCTGTGCTCCAGCCGCCATCCTCTACTGGCTGCTGCACTCGGGGGCCTGGAGGCCGGGACGGGCCGGGACGGGGAGCCTCGGGAACGGGAGCTTGGGACAGCTCCGCTGCTCTGCTGAAGGTACATCCTCTGGCTTCCGGGAAGCTGTGCATTGATGCCGAAGGCGATGTTAGGGATTGCTGGGCCAAGGAATCCCACTTCGTGTACGCGCAGGCATTGAGATCACCCACCTTCCAGTTCGTGCAGAAATTGGAGAAGCTGAGACTGGAGTTCATGGGCGACGATCTGGACAGGACCGGGCCGCAAAACCGAACACAGCTCCACTTGCCCATTCTCTTGAGCAGGATCGTCCGTGGTTTTTGGCAACGCATGCCTGATGGCACGGAGGCTTTGCAGCATTCTCGCAAATCCAAGCACAAGCAATCGTTTGCACGAAGGTTTCGTCCATGGGGGCAAGCTAGACTTGGTTTGTTTATACTGGCTTGCTCTGCAGAAATCGGTTGGATGATGCAAACGGTGCATAGTTTGTGTGTTGTGTGTGTATGTGTTTGTGTCTGTGTGCTGTGAAGTGCGCGTTTGCGATCCCAGAGCATAGGCAACCCTTAGCATGAGCGACCGCGATGGGAAACATGCGGAACGATGGGAGCGCTATTTCTGAACCAGCCTGAATTCAGCTCTCCAGGTCGAAGGCGCCTCTTTGCCCTCCATAAACGACACATCGTCGACCATGTTGCACTTGCTTATTAGTGGCATTCAAAAGACCTGATGACATGACCAGAACTTCATCTCATGTCGTGTTGCACTTTCGGAGGGTGATGGGGAGGCTGATCACCTTGTTTGCAATCTGCCAGGCTTGTCACCTCCATCTCTGCAGGAAGCATGTGCTTTGTGACGAGAGTGCGGACATCGCTGAGCCTCCGGAAGCTCGCTAAACCGAGATGCCAGATCTGTGGCAAGTGTCGGCTCGATAGAAACCGGTTGTCCTATGTTCAGCGTCGGTACCCAACGCTGGTGTCGACGTGCGGTTCACTCTACCAGACTCGAGCTCCTGCGCTTCAGAAAAGTTCTGGGAGTTTGTTTGCACAGCCCTTGCTGTGGGAATGAGGCTGAAGGACGAGATCACAAGGCGGGAGTCGCTTCTCGTGGCAACCATCGCCGCCTTAGCTCACAGGATCCAGCACTCCTTGACCTCGGCAACTTCGGAGTTCGAGGATTGCCGAAACCGTTGCCTTTGCCTTTGACCAGCGGTCTGTCGGTCGGCTGTGAGGAGCACAAGCGAGTGTCCACTTCCACGCACAACAAGCTCCAGTCTCAGGCTGGAGCCAGTGGACGAAAAGACCATGGAAGCCTCCCCATCATTGTTCGGTCGTACGTTATGCTGTGTTATGTAGCAATAGGTAGCTTTACTTCTTGCATCGTATCATGCTGTGTTCTCCTCCGTCAACAGGACAAACATCGCCTGTTAGGGGATCGTCGGTGAGCCTATCTAGTAAATTGTATGCGATTCCGTAGATCATGGTATCGTGCGATAATCTACTAGTTCGACATGATTTATAAGACTGCATGAGACCGTGCCACACGTGGTATCACATCGTGAGATCATGAGGAAGACATGGTCCGACTTCTCTTCGCATGTCCATGTGGAAAGCATTTTTGAGCAACAAGAACTGCAAAGAGATTTGCGTGTTTATGTTCTTGGGCAACACGTGGAAGCTGTGCGGAAATTGCATCGAGTCCAACCTTGGTCGTTTGGACACCGCTGGCAAGTTGCCCCTTGTCGCGAGCGGTGCCATCCAACTTGAAGGTGGCAGGGTGCTTCGGCCTATGACAACGGAAGTTGGCTGCAGAGAACCTCCAAAAAGGTGGCGCCGGTAGATGACGGCTATGAGCGATGCCACGTACTGTGCTGGTTTACTCCGTTCGGCAAACCGACAGAAGCAGGAAGCACGCGGCGTAATCCCGCGATTTCAAGCAAACACAATTCTTGGCAAGCTGACAAAAGCCGCGAACCCCTGCTCGCAGGTTCAGTATTGATAGCATATTAATTCCGGAGCTGACTGATCTCGGAGACAGGGTTTCCGCGCACACACAGACACGTGGAGATCGAGGCGTCTGCATGCAACTTGCATGCGACCCAATCCCAACCGATGTCGATCTTGCCTTTGACTTGGGCTTCCTGAACGTCCTGATTCAAGTTGATTTCTCAGGCTGATTTCAACATTATCATCGGCCAGTACGGCAGCGACAGATGAGACGCCCCAGCTCGAAATCACCATGCTGAAGGAATGTCTTCGTTGAGTGGGCACCAACAATCATAGCAGACACTCTTACAGTGCATCCACACAAACCACTAGTAAGCAAGTAGGGACCGAGGAATGGACGAAAGCATATTTGGACGGAAGGAACGGAAATAGCGCTTTCCGTATGCAAGCTGGGGTGTGCCGATGCCCGATGCAAAGACGGGTCTGCCCAATGCTTTATACTGTTGTGCAGGTTTGGTCCATCGAGGAACTTCGCAAGGCTCAGGTCAAAATCTCGGATCCTGTTCCTTGGGAAGTGGAGATGATGATCTTGCACATGGCAGGAGGCCGCGTCGCCTTCCCACCATTCGCAGAAATCTTACCAGCCCTTGGTGGCCATGACGGCGAGTGTCTGAGACCGAAGCGTCGAGTTAAGTGTTGAGTTGTGCAACACGCCTGCGAGGCCTCACAGGGGTCGCTGTACCCGGGAACAGGGTGGCAGATGGCTAATGTTGGAGGGGATACAAAACGCTTCTTTTTGTCGCATTTGCCGGCCAGGTCCGTCAATGTTCCTCAGCCCATGAGCATCATCCACGCATCGTCGCCCAGGAGGTGCGTGGAGAATTCTCGCATCTTGCCACCAAGCAGCCTGCTGATAGACAGGTCGCCGTCTTTGCCTCAACCTGTTTCGCCCCATTCTCTATCGGGTTCTATCGTTCCGAGCATGTCAGGCCTGCTTTGGTGACTTCGTGTGTCCTGACCCCAAGCCACATCACTGTATTGAATGTCCAGGAGCACTGGTGCCAAACACTGTGAGGACCCGGAATGGCAAGCAGCCTTAACACTTTCTATGCTGCGTTGCTGATTCTGCTTAATCCGTGTGCTTTCCTCAGTTCACGCAGCGCGTTTGCTCCCGTATCTGCCCATCCATGCAGCTTGCCGTGTATTATCTAGTTAACCTGTCTATGCATTCATTGTGCGGCCTCTCAGCTGTCTATCGATCTCTGCTTAAGTTCCGGTCATGTTGCGGCGCCATGCAACAGCTGCAGGAGTTCAAACCTCGCAAAGGCAGCGCCAGCTGTAGTGTCCCAGACAGTCCCGTGCGGAGCTCGGTGGCAGCGATGCACCGTCACACGCCGTTCTCCATGCAAGAGCGCATGCTTGAGTGCACGCAGTGCTGCCACGTGAGATGCTGACACGGGTGCGCCGAGCCCAGAGCAATTTCACCAATTTGGCAACTCTGTCAGAACATGCTTAATCGACGCCGTTGCTTGGCGACGAGGATAAACAAGAAGAGGAGGAGGAGGAGGAGCAGGAGGAGGAGGAGGAAGGTGGAAGAGGAAGCTTTCGACAGTAATGTGGTGATGATGAAGATCTGAAGATTCGGTCATGCATTTGGAGATAGACTTGACGTGGAGATGAGGACGCAGACAGAACATGTGGCGATGATGATCATCATCATCTTAGTATCATGGATATGATGACCACATTGACAATTCAGGATGATGCTTGTGGCGGGATTGGTGGTGGTAGTCGAGACGAGAACTGCAGAATGCTGGTGCTTATCATCATGGCGCTAGCATGAGGTGATGGAGACAACGTCGAAGAAGTGGGAGGAGTCAGAGAGGAGGAGGATTTGATGTGGGTGCGGCATGTGGCTGTTGATGGCTTCGATGGTGCAAGGGCCGATGATGAGGAGGAGGGAGTCGAGATGAGTCTGGTAATGGACTCATGATGAGGAGGAGGAGGGTGACGACGGACGATGATGATGACGGGGAAGAGGATCAGGCGGCACCTTCGACTGAAGCCATACGTTGGCAGAAAGGACGTGCAGTTCACGGTCTCGAGTGGTGCAGCGCTATGCAGCGCTTGTCACACAGTGCTGGTCTGCTTGTGGCACCCGCTGCTGTGACGTTACTTGCTGAGTTTTCCCACTTTTGATTGGAGCGATGGCCTTCAGGTACATTACAATGCGATGAACCAGTGAGCCGTGGAAGCTGTTTCACTTCGCATCGTTATGACATGATACTTTGCTTCTGGTAAACGACAAGTACACACCAAGTGCCCTTATCCGGTTCCAGGCCGGCGTAAATTTGGCATGTGTTAAGGGAGACTTGAAGTTTTAGGTTGTTTACGTTCTGAAGGCCATCAATGGGAAAGCTTCACCTGTCTCCCTTGACGCGGCCCCCTGTGCACGTGAGTTGGAGCCGCTTGCCACATGTGCGCTCACAGCTAAAGGAGTTGGGGGGAGCTGAAGGATGGAGCCCATCAGAAGACTAGTTGGACAAGTGCATGTCTGTTCGGGCTACGGCTTCAGCGGGTCATCGTCAAGGCCGACGCCATGGCCTCACCAGCGAAGTTCTCGTTCCTGAATTCTCATGGAGGTCAGGCCTCTTGCACATGGGCTATTGATGGACAAAATCCTGCATAGTCCATCCATAAGAAGGGAGAAAAAACATAATTACATTCCGCATTTGTTAATTGAAGGCTTTGTCAGGCCTGGCCCGGATGAGTCCCAGTTCTTGTGATGTTCTGAGCTCGGCACTTGGCGCACTAAGCCTCCATGGGCAGGCCCAGGCAGCCGACAACTACATGGCTTCACAGGCGGGCGCCCGCAAGGAGAGCTTGAGGATGCTTAGTGCGCGTTGTATAAGAGCTTGGCCTTTGGGCTTCTGATGGTTCTGCTCTGTTCTGCTGAGGCCTTATGCTGACATGTGTGAAGTTTGCTGGAAGCGAAGATATGTGCCAACAGTCACCCGCGCGGATAGAGCCAAAAGAGTCAGGACTGTAGCCAAGAACGCATCAAGTCAGAACCAGGCCTTGATCAGTCAGCTCCCGCTCGAGCGGTGGACTCAGGGGCCCTGAAGGTACTGCGTGGCGTTTTGTGGTCAGTGCTGCTGTCGCTTCCGAGTCCGCCTCGCTGCCGACGATGAACATCTCTGCGGGGTACGGAGACCCCAGAGAGAGAGATTCAGAGAGAGAGAGAGAGAGAGAGCGAAGCATAGCGAAAGCGATGGAAGGATGTGTCTCTGCGAGGTTTTCGATGAAGCTAGGCAACCAGCTCGGCTTCAATGCCCGGAGCCCGCTGCCATACGAGCAGTCATCCAGATTGTCGCAGAGAGCAGTGGAGCTTGCTCTCTAACCTGAGTCCTGGCAGCCCGAAGGCAAACAAGCAATGCAGCAATCCGACGAAGGGTGAGCCTCAGGTTTGCGTTTTTTGCCTTTCGCCTCTCGGACGGAGGCTTATGCCAATCTACGTGGCCCCTTTGTGGCCCGTGAAGTGCCCAGAATCTTTACTATGTGAAACTTGGAGGGATATGGACCTTCGTCTAGGCCGCGACATTCCGATTCTTCCGAAGAACCCGCGGGCCACGCAGAGGGAGATATACAAAGCACGTGTGGAGGCACCTTGAACCACGAGCCTGAGGGTCTTTTGTGTGTGTGTGTGTGTGTGTCATGCAGGAGGTCTGGGTGATGCCTGAACGACTTCGCCCAGAGACTCTGCCACCGGCGGGGCAACAAAAGGCAGGGGCAAGCAGGTGTGTTCACAAGTCTTCGCGCATTTCGGGTTGAGATGTAGCAAGCCTGGGTGCTGGCCGCGGCTAAGGAGCGGCGACAAGGCAAGAGGTTGGTGTCCGAAAATACGAACACCCTCAGCCCTGCGCCAAGTAAGGGCTGGCTTTTGAAGTTTGGAAAAAATTGCCCGAACCTCCCAAAGCGCTCCTCGAAAGTGCTTTCAAAGCAGCTCACCAAGCTTAGCCCTGGAACTTCCAATCTGGTCGCGCGGTGCAGCCAACTGCCAACTCCGACCATTGTAAGCAGTATGTGTGTTCGTGATCGAGACACTTTTCGGGCCTTCTTGTCCTTCACTGCACTGCGAGCTGCCCATTTTCGTAGTACCAAGCTCTCCAGACAAACTGAGGCCATGTGGATACCCTGATTTGGGGCTCAGACATTGACAAGTCTGCAGCTCAGCCTTCTGCATGTGTCCCGGAGACATGGGGCTTGTACTCTGAGGAGTGACGGACTTCTCAAGCAATGTGATTCCGAGATTTACCGGGGTGCTGCCGGCCTGAATGCAAAGGCCCGTTTCAAGCTCGGCCCCGGCTTACTGAATCTCGCAGATCTCGCAGGCAGAGCGCACGCCGATCTACGGCTACATCCCTCCCGTCTGTTATCGAACTTTCGGCCCCGTCGGCGGCTTTGGTTTTGTGACAGCGCTGCGTCTCGGGGTGCGTGGACTTTGAAGCATCCACAGGAAGGGCCCGTTCGTTTCCAGTGAGCGGGGGCTCAGATCGAATGATGGAGCGTGCTAGACCCAGGACAACATCTAATCTAGCTGAACGAATCTTTCTCGAACCATGCTACGCTATCGCAATTAGCCAAGTCTCAGCTCAGCAATTGCTGAGGATGAGAGTGAGATTCCCCCCGAATGGGGATGGAGTGTAATTAGGTTCTGCAGCCAGTAAAAAACACTTTTCGATGAGTCTAGGGTGCCTCTATCTCACGCTTGTTTTGTGCATCGTCATGTCTGTGCTGATGCTTGGTGCCACTGGGCTCAACAGAAAACCACCTAACGCCTCCTTGCTGGTTCGCTTCGCCGTGACCTTTCTGAAGCGGGTCCCCGTGTTGGCTCGGACCCTCAGCCGCTCCAGGTTCCTCTCTGTCCTCATTGCCCATCGCTCTCGAGGCACCATCTCGCCCTTTGACGCCGTGCCCGCGCTGGTCGAGCGCCCCAGGCGCTGTTGGCCCTCCTGCGGACGCCGCAAGGCACCCGACAGCGAGCGGAACGATGCGGCAGAGTCACTGAAAAGCCTGGCTCGATGAACTTGGAGGCTTCGCCAGAGATGGGCACCCCAGAATGGGGCGCTGATGTCGGAGCCACAGAGAAAGAGAGACAGGCTACAACAGTCGAAACCCCAGCCAAGCCTGCAAAAACCACCGAGCATAAGCCTTTTCCGTCGGCGACAGCGGCATAGTCTCGTAGTTGGAACTTGGTGCCGTTAGGGTCTTCCAGTGGTCCGAAGAGGAGAGAGGCTTGTTCCAAGGCCGGTGGCGGTCCGCCATCTCCAGAGGGCTCGGAGCTTGGCGGAGCCGCTACAGGCGGCAGCTGCGACGGAGCGGAGTCACTCTGAGGTCGTGGAGGCAACAGTCCACCACAGCGAGCAGCGGCCTCGGCCATGGAGGGACCGCCGGACCGTGGCGGAGCCCTGGGCCGGAGGGCAGTGTGTGATCCGTGTTCTACTAACGAGGCTTTGATGACCAGCCCGCGAGGTATGAGAGGCAGTGTGGGGGGGGGCGGGGCGGGGCGAGTCGTGGCGCTTGCACTCGGTCGGTGCTTTGGTAGGCCGAGGAGGCCCTGGGCGGCGCACATCAGAAACAAATGACTTGCTGGAAGAGGCCAGGCTAATCCTGTCGGCGACAGCAGGCTACGGCAGGCTACCGCACCGTCGCTTGACGGTGGCAGGCTCCGGAGATGGAGCAGTACAGCAAAGAGAACTTACCTCCGGACCGCAACTCAGAGATTTACGTTGTCTGCAGCTCTCGTCAGGCGGTTGAATGAACTTGAATCAGGCTGCAGAGCACGAGGTTGAGTTCATAGTACCGCATGCCGCCTCTTTTCCGAGTGGTGAAGCAGTGGCCTTAGCAATTGGGGGTCCGCCAAAAGCTCAACTCTAAGCTGTCAATCTAGACTGGAACATGCTCTACTGTGCTCAGAAAGTGCGATCGCCACCGCTGATGGTGCGAAATTTCAGATTTAGGCTGGCTGCCATTTCTGATATAGCAAGCTGCGGAGATTGTGTGTTACCGTTTTGGCAAGATTGCGCGTTGTATCGGAATTCGCAGGATACTGTGCTTTCCATCCGGAACTTCGAGTGCGGGTGGAACTGCGGCCTGTTCCTTACATGCGGCACTTCCCGGCACTGTGACCGCCTGACGGAGTTTCGAGGTCAGTGCATTTGTGGAGGCCGATCCTCCGGAAGGCGCAGACTTCTAGAACGCTCTGCGATGCTCTGCGCAGCTCCGCTCTGCTCTCCTCCACAAGCTGAAAGACACCAGGACTTGATCCGCGGTGGATTTTCCAAGGTGTCAAATACCAGGCGCGGCGCACGCCACGATGGCCGCAGCATGCCACCAGCCATGAGATTTCGTCTGCAGGTCGCACTCGTGAACTGGCTTGACTATCGCAGAAGTGTGGTCAAGGCATTGGATCACCCCTCGCTCAGCTTTCTGTATTTCGCAAGCCTTGCGCCGTGTTGCAGAGCGACACGTGGAGTTTCTCCAAGGTGGGCAGCCCGAAGTTAGGAGATTCGGCAGTCAGCATTCGATCTTCCTGAGGATGGAATTGATAGAGGTTGGCACGACATGGTGAGGACCGGGAGGGCCGAGGGGCCCCGCCGCCCCGTTGCCCCGTGGCCCCGTCTCGCTTCTCTCTCCTTGGCAGGACGTCTGAGTTGTCTCAGGACACCGGCTGGTTAGGCGCTGGAGAAGCCGGCACAAACTCGGAACGTGCAAAATGACAAAATGCCAGGCCCACGTGACAGCCTTTGCTTCCGAGCATGCGTTTGTGTTCGACAGGCGAGCGGTGTTCGTGAAGTAGCACCATATAGGACCGTGCATGAAGCAACCGTGGTGATCATGGCCAGCTTATTGATGATCCTTGGAGTTCGGCGGGAATCTCTGCCCTGCTATCCAGCATCGTCTAGCATTTGCAGGCTGACAGTGTCCAAGCTGGTCAAGACTTCAACTGTAGGACGGGAAAAGAGCTGCGAAGTGGAACTGGCTGTTCGATGCTACTTGCGGCTTGCCTTTGTGAAAAGTCGCAGAAGACGTCAGGAAGGAAACCGGATACGTCGGCCTGATGAACCACGGCGCAACGTCTGCCTTGCCGGGTTGCAGCCAGGGAAGGGAAGTTCGAAGTGCATCGCGGCCAGGTGCTACATGAACGGTTTGCTGCAAAGCCTCTTCCATGCCGGAGAGTTCAGGCATCGACTTCGTATTTTTTCACCCGGCCCCTCCCTGACCTCTGGATTCCTGGATGTGGGTTCAGGCGAATCGTTTACTCCATCGAATGCGAGAAGGAGGAGAAGGCCTCAGAGTCGGAGCACGGCCCGCTTGTTCAGTCCTTGAGTCCTTGTCAGACATCATCTCCGTTTCTTGTGCTTCGGGGGTTTTCTGCGTCTTGAGGAAGATGCGCCGATGGAGAAAGCAGGCGACACCGATGCAGAAGGCTTGATTGCCAGCTTGAACATGATGTCGACCTTGTTTTCAATGCTTCAGGAGATGTCTCCCTGATCCAGGCTGGGCAGTATAAGTGCATGCTTGGCTTTGGACCAATGCCCACACTCTTCCAGGCCTTGCAGAATGTCTTCTACAGACTGCAGACTTCCGAGCAGGCGCACGCATGCTGAGCAAAGCCAAGGGCGTCTAGCTACGAGGATCTGCATAGATCAGGTTTGCATTAGAAACTGCTCTTCATTGTTCGTGGGCCTGCGAGGCTGTCAACTGCAAGGAGTTGATGAAGTCCTTTGGTTGGGACACCACAGATGCATTCACCCAGCACGATGCGCAGGACACTGGTAATCTTGAAGACTAAGAAAAACGTTCTTGGAGAATGATGAAATGGGGGTGAGAACAGTGTGGTCAGGAGCTGAACAGGATCTTGTGTGATCGACTGGAGGCCGCATGAATCCAAATCTTCAACTCGTGAAGAGCTTCGCATCTGGGAGCACTTCCCCTAGTTGTTGGTGCAGGAACAGATGAAAGGCACTCCAATGGATGGCTCCATCAAGAGGCTCGTACTTAAATCGTCAGTCCTCTTTCTGCCGTGCTGCTGAGTGTGCTCATACTTGAGTTGAGAGGCTCTTCGAAGGCGAGATGGAAAACTACATCGAGTGCCTCGATGCGGCTAGGTTGCATTGAGAGATCAGCAGGTTTTGAGGAGCCGGAGGAAGGGAAAAATGTCCCTTAGGGTAAACAAAATGCAGCTGTACATATATGATTATGTCATGGTAAGTATGCCTTGTTAAGGACATAGTGCAAGCGAGCGGAGTTGCAGTTGAGGGGCTAGGTGAAGCGTGATCCTTACAGTAGTGCCTTTATCGGGTTAAGCACGCGATGTCGTTTGGAATTGGCGGATCAGCTTCAGAGAGACAGTGCTGCACAATTGTGCCGGGAGCTGTGTTTGGTCCTGGTGGGAGGCTTGAGATGTCGGGGATAGTGGTTTTTCCTTGCATTCAGCTTCGTATTTGGCCACCGGGGCTTTAAAGGGTTGAGTCTTTGAGGGTTTAGGTTGAGCGATTTCAGTTTTTGGTTTTGCACTTTCGTCCTCATTTGGTAGGTGCAAGGGTCCACAATGCGGGCTTTGGGGTTTAGAGCTTAGAGCTTTTCCCTGGGTTTTAGCACTTGGGCCGTGGGTGGGGATCAGGAATCCATGTTTGCGGTAGAGATTCGGCGTTTGGTGTCTGCCTATACCCGCAAAACCTACGGTGAAGTGTTTTAGATAGGGACGGCCAGACCGCAAAGGCCACGTAGGTAGAATAAAAGTTAGCACGTTTAAAAGCCACAGGGTCACCATTACAAATTGACTTGTCGGCCCGGGCCCGACAGCTGCAGAGGTAGTATAAGATGTCTGTCTTGACATTTGTTTCATCCGTATCTTGAATCGTCACCGTAGTTGTGCCTACCAGCTAAGTTGGGGATAGGCCTGGTTGGATGTCGGCCCAGGTCGACTACACCTCCAAACGCCGCGAAACGTCGGGGGCCTTGGTGGGTCGTGTCTGGCCCTCGAACGATGGCGAATGAAAAGACTAAGGTTTTATGACATTCAATTGAACATCAAGAGCGAGAAGGGAAACGACCTCCAGACAATAGAGGATCGGTTTGCGATCAGGCCAGTGGCAAGACTCGTCGCTTGTCCCATTGGTTTTCCAGGAGTCCATGAAAGAGTTCACTGCGGATGAGATGCTTGACGGTGACAACCTTTATGAGGCCTCTCGGACTTTTTGCCACAGTCGACCATGACCGTTTCGGACATGGCACAGAGAGTCCTCCAAGGCTGAAGGCTATGGAAAGCAGCGTGCAAAGAAGGTGCAGCCTTTGCGGAAAGCAAGACACGCAAGCCTAAGTGGCCGTGTTCAGCCTGCTGTCTCTGCTCAGGGCATCCGGTTTGTGCAGTTCCCACCGGTCCTGAACCTGCAGCTGAAGCGCTTCCACTTTGACATGGAACGCATGGACATGGTGGGAAGCAACAGCACCTGCGCTGTCCAGCACAGTCCTGGTGCCACCAGGTCAAACTCAACAGTCGTTTCGAGTTCCCACGACGCCTCGATCTCTCGCAGTTTGCGCCTGGCGCTGGGTCTGGAGCTCACCAGAGTCGTCCTGACGCAGAGCGCGAGCGCGACATGCAGCGGCGGGTTACTCTGAGGCATTATCTGCTGCACTCCGTCGTTGTCCACAGTGGTGATGTCAACAGCCGACATCTGAGATGGATGCTCCAAAACGTGACTTGTTGGGTATCCTCTTGTCGCAGGCGGTCACTACTACGCCTACATCCGGCCAGAGACCGGGGAAGTCTTGAGCGGTCTTATTATCCTTCCACTGTCAAGCGCACAAAATGCCAGTTTGTAAAGGCCGAACTTGGACGAGCGATGGGTGAAGTTTGATGACGACAACGCAGCTTGACGAGAGAATGCGGCACTCCATACCAAGTCTTCGTCAGAAAAGCTTTGAACTTCAGGTTACGCCGTGCAGCGATTTTGCTGCGGTCGAAGACAACTTCGGGGGCATCTTAGCTATTTGTGAGTGGCCATGACCATGCGACCATGCGCGGTTTCCATTCATGCTGCGACTTGGTGGCTGTTCGTGCCAGGCAGCGACCCCAATGCCTTCAATTACTTCGATCGAAGCCCATCTGAGCTCAAGAGCGTGCAAAGCTCAGCTGGTCAGCAGTGATGCTGATTGAAAGGGCTGGCTCGGGTTGAGCACTACAGCCCTGTTTGCAGTTGCAATGGCCGAGCCGTCCCCGGATCCACAACGCGTGCTCCACATGAATCTCAGTGTGCACAGTCGATGCCATTGTTTTTTTCTATCTCGGCCCGCTTGGCAGGTACATCCTTGTCTACATCCGCGAGGACTGTGCAGAGGATGTCTTGCGCATCCCCGATCCAATGCAGGCACCTATACTCTACTGCCCAACCCAGCGGTTCCACCCCGCGGCATTTTCGATTTCTCATAGGTGAACAGCCGGATGGTGGAAAGATGTAATGCCGAGGCGCCTGGGACTGGGACGCTGCAGCTTTTCTTGCCCTGGCTTGTGAAGTTTGTGAAGCAGTGAAATGAAGCGCAGGGGGTGGACTCGGCATGAATGCACCAATTCGATTGTGAGAGAATGCAGCCAGTTTGCGACTAATTTATGCATTGAGTATGGCAAACCATCTCGTTATGTGAGTTGCCAAGCCCAATACGGAACCATAGGATACTGTTACTGTTGTCGATTGTTCGAGTCAAGAGCTTCCAGACGAGAAAGAGCGTGGCAAGGACTGAACCAAGGACATGAAGCCGAGCATCGAACGATCGTATTCAGGGGCATTGACTCAGCGGAGAGCCGACGACTCGACGACCCACAACAGTCTAAGACGGATGGTCAGATCGTTCCATGCGATTGCTCCTCGAGATCTTTCTTGCCCTGCCCATGGTGCATACCAGCTTGCAAGAGGTACGACTGCAAGAGCAGCGACGGCGTGAGAAGCTGGAGCTGCAGACAAAGATCAGGAGCGAGCATTTTTTGCGACTTTGTCACGCTAGGCCGTTAGGCTACATGACGTTATCTGTTGACTCTCACGCGATCTGTTCTATTTCAGGTGGGGTTGCTTTCAACACGTGTTTCAAAGGTCGTGCTTAATCAATCTGAACTCTGCAAGCATGCAGTTGCAGCACGTTTTATATGCCACCATCTTGGCCGTTGGAGGAGCTATCAACACTTTATTTGAAACCCGGTGTAGCTTTCTGCTGGGCTGTCAGCAATCGGAATGGCTGGAAGCAATCTTTTGCTGGTTGGTAACTACGGACATGGTCGATTGCCAAAGATCAATCAGGATAAATCTCATCTTCGAGAATGATTTGTCGAGACCTCAGACCGATGTTCCTTTTCAGATGTGGGTAGCGTCGGTGTCGATGCCAGGTGTTCAATGACCGGCTTCTGGGACTACACCAGCATTCCAACGGGGTCCGCGCCCCTCGGGTTCTGGGTGTGCGATGGGTGGAAATTGTTTCTTTAACTGCCGAGGCAGTCCTTCAAAATGAACCGGGATCAGTTTGTCAAGGAGACTAGCTGAAGCCGAGCAGAGCGGTATAGCGGTATAGCCGAGCTGTGATAAAGACTGTGCTGAACCGTTTTGAACGGACAGGACCTGCTCTCGCATGCAGAAGAGATTCTCCAGGCTGCGGAGAGCCGGGACACAAACCGCATTGTCTCTGTCAGGTTTGGTTGGACCGAATCATGCCGTGTTTCCGAAGGTGAATGCGAATCATCTGGCTCTTTTTGCTCTTCACCTCCGGTCGAACCCACGACAGGCTGAGCGGCGGAGACGTGAGCTCTGTGATGTTCAGTGCCTTGCAGGTGAGGTTCGAGTTCATGCCGCATTTCAAGACCCTCAGGAGCGGGTTCACGTGAGAAGTTTCTCAAAGCTCAAGTTTCTCTCGGCAGTGTTCAGGACGCAGATACCGCCCGTCACCTCGCCTCATTACGAGCCTTTCAAAGCACGAAGCCATCCGTCCTATTGTCGCTATTGCATCCAAACCGGTTCGCGATGCTTGAGGGAGGCTGTTTTGGAAAGTGTGATTCGGGCTGAGGACTCGCAAGATCCTTGCATCACAGTTCTTTGTGCACGCTGCTTGGAGAGCCAATCTGCACATGTGCACATGTATACATTTTAGCATCGGTATCTGGTCAGGTGGCTGCAAGAGGCCACAATGTTGGTCCACCTCCGCTGAGGTTGGATGCTTTGTTAGTTCATGCATACTGTGGCGACCATTTCGGATTGCCTGCAAAAGCATGCAAAACCTTGAAGACTAGAGACATCGTGCATGGCATTTTGCAGCATACTGTCAGGTGGCAAAACGAGTCTGCGGAGCCTGAGGAGCTGATAAGGCACTCCGCCCCAGAGCCACAAGTAAACTCAGTAGACGTCGCAGGGCCGTGATATACGGACGTTTGTTTTGTAATGGCAGGTGGGACGATCAACAAGTGATTATGCGAGGGCCCAATTCAGAAGCAGGTGGAGTGAACGCAGTCAGTACAGAGTGGTGTGACTGAGACGATGAAAAATTGAGGCTTGTGGTGAAGTATTTCTGCATCCAAAGACGAAAGCTTGTCACTTTGGGCTGCCACTTGTCATGGCTATCCGTAGAGCATTGGCAACCAGTGCCAAGTCCCAGCCCGGTGAGGCTTCTACATGCCGATGAACGACCCTCTGATCAGCATGGCACTGGAACTTACGGCCTTGGCATCTTTTGGCTAGTCGCAGAATCTGACTACACGTGTGGTTCATGAAGTGCTTGCATTACGCCGCCAAGGTCAAGAGCAACTGGGTGACTGAGAGGTTACAGCGTTTTTTGGACAGTCAGGAGGCCCTGGTGACTGGTGGTGGGACGCAGCAGCAGCATCAAAGGGCAGCAGCTCGGCACAGCATCCGCAGGTGGCGCCACTTCCACCCCAATTGCAATCGGCTGGAGAGGCCACTGCACAGAGGCTTTCTAGTAGGTGGAGCTTTGGGCGGCCTGCAAGGATGGCACAAAGCTAGAAACAGCATGGGAATGCTGGGAAGAATACACGGAGCATCAACCCCAGCTGTGACTGCACCCTTGAGACCCCTTCAGACTGCAAATCCAAGCCTCCTGAGGCGTGACATACAAAGAAGAAGTGCCAAGAAGTCGGCCAAGATGGAGCGGTTCATGTTGCAGACCCAGTACTTCTCTGCGTGTTCCACCACTGCATTGCACACAAAATCACGAAAGCTCGCGAGCAGGGCTTGAGTCAACTCTGCTTTTAGCAGAGACGCAGGCCATGGCCAGCAACCAGCACATTATTGATAGCTCATCCGCGGCTGCCTCCTCCACAACTGCTTGCGCAGCATGTCGAAGCGTGGCATGGGAGCACTCCGACAGAATGCTGCCTCCTGTGGCCTCCTGCTGCTACTGCTACTATTTCTACTGCTGCTGCTACCCCCACTGCTACTGCCACTGCCACTGCCACTGCTACCGCTGCTGTGGTGGTAGTAGTAGTAGTAGTAGCAGCAGCAGCAGTAGTAGTAGTAGTGGTAAAGTAGTAGTAGTAGTAGTGGTAGTACTACTACTACTACTACTACTACTACTACTACTACTACTACGACTACTACTGCTGGTGCGACTATACAGTGCTCCAGCGGATAAAGCCGGCTGATCTGCACGGCGAACATCCACCGGATAGAAAATCGCCGAGCTTTCGTTCCCCATGCCTCCGGCCATGAAGTCTCGAGGTGTGGTGACATCATCGTCTGGCAGCAAGCTTCGCCCTCTGCACCACCGGAGGTGGCCGGCGAGGCCAACAAGGGTGCAGCTGCGAGTGAAAGTCCGCTGACGGACTTCGACTGGGAATCTGATGCACACCCTCACTCGCTGTTGCCCTTATTCTCTTAATCGATCATTCATGGACTAACCAGTAAGGCAGTAAGGGTCTTATCAAACTTGAGCGGCAAGCCCTTCGTAGTTGGCTTATGTTCATCTGGTGGAAGATGGCGGAAGTCCTATGGAACTCGTGTGGCTTCAATGAAAGCTTAACGCAGCAAGAGCGATGATGAAACAACATACTCACACCGGCAGGGGTCCCAACGCGTGTCTGATTTCGATGTGTCGTTTGCGCTCGAATTTCTGGCATGCGTGCTTCTAGCCGCCATAGAAGTGGACCACTCCACCACTCCCAACCGGCGCAGAAGTTTTGGCGATTCGGAGCTGTGTAATGCAGGCATGGAAGCAGCACTGGCTACGGCCAAAATGAATGTATTTGAGGCATTTTGTGCAAAAGTGTTAATACCAGCTTCTTTTCAATTGCCACCGTTGTCTTGTGGATGGTGATGTTTCTTCCGCTTCTACCTCTCTTGCGGGCATGTTGCTGCAAAACACGATGACGACAAGGATGGAGTCCGGATGGAGGTGGCGATGATCATGATGATAGTGATGGTGACGGTGGTGATGATGATGATGGTGATGCAGCACATGGGGGGATAACTGCGCCTACTTTTTGCTGCTTCTTGCCGGTGGGGTGGTGGAGGGGTTGGGGGAAGGGGGTTGATGACGTTCTGTGCTTCAAGATACCCTATGCCGCTCTTAGGCGGGAAGTAGTTGATTGAATTTAACACTGGCGATCATACCGAAAGTACCACGCCTGTCACACGAAACAGGGCTTGCATAGGGGGATGGAGAACCTACTGAAGCAACGCGGATGATGAAGATGTTTGATGATGGATATTGTGGGATTGAGAATCTACTAAAACAGCCCGGACGATGAAGATGAAGACGAAGATGAAGAAGATGATGATAAAGATGATGGATGATGAGGATGAAGATGATGAAGAGTTTGAGGCAGAATGTGATGATGATGATGATGGTAATGTTGTGATGATGGTGATGATGATGATCATGGTGGTGATGCTGGTGCTGATGACGATGATGAGGAGAAGGAGGAAGGAGGAGGAGGAGGAGGAGGGGGACAGGCGGCAGGCGGCAGACTGCGCAGTAGAACACGCAGTGCCCATCGAACAAGCTCCAGCGATGGACTGACTGTCGTCGTTGCTTCCGGTGGTCAACCTCGCCAGTGGTGCGCCGACATTCGCATAGACCGGCTACGCTGGCTACTTCGACGCAGGTGTCTCTGTCGGTGACTAAGTGTACTGTGCCAACGTCAGCGCCACTTGTGTCCGGCGGCTGGTTTCGTACCCTAAACTGACCCCTCGCTAGACGATGGGCGGTTCTAGTCCAGAGCGCCCGACTTCTGGGCGCCTGGGTCTTCCCGCAGACCTTAAGATTAAGATAAAAGTTCTGCTACCTCGCATGCAAGGAGGCCCGGTGGACCTGACTATGGGATCATCACGTCACTAGTTCACTCTGTGTGCCGGTGTTTTCAGCATCTCAACTTTTAAATGCTTGTGGTGTTGTCAACCGACAGATCGCAGTGGCAACGAGCGCACGGTTCGGGCTGGGCTGATCGCGCATGCATGTTGCTGAGTGAGATATGGGCATACTTGCCTCATGGTTGATTTTGCGTGGTGTGTTCATGGCAGCAGAGATGTTCCCATGTTTAGAGTCTTAGAGTGTCTTGTGGGCCAGTTGTGTGTTGATTGGTCATGACTGCTTGTTGGGCTGGGCTAGCTGTTTGCAGATTACATTTGTCCGGGTGCAGTTGCAGCCAATTTTCGATTTTACCGCCCTCCAAAACCCGCAAACACGGGTCATGCGGGGATGCTTGTGTGACTGGACGTGGAAGGTGTGTTTTGCACCTACTCACCGCACTTCAGCAAAGACATGCAAACGAGCGTCACAGTGGGCTGGGTGGGTTTTGCTTTCTCAGAAATTCAAGTACACTGCAGATCTCGACATGTTGTTTGGAATGCAATGCTGTGTGTACTGCGGTGCCAATGATTGAAGGTTGGTTGCCGAATCGCTGAAGAGGGTGCCTGCCATCATTCAAGCGCACAACCTCTGTGTGCTTCGTTGGCATGACTCTTTTCTATTGTCATCTTTCTGCGTGGAGCGCTCACAGGTCACACTCACTCTCGCCGAAGCGCATGAGGTTCCATTCATCCACACCCGTCCCACATTGGTGCTTTCACATCTAGACACAGAGGAAGAGAAACAAGCCCCTTGTCACAATCTCATACAGAAGTCTGAGTGTCACAGTTGCGCTGGTAGCTGACCGTGAGTTGGCGACCTGCCTTCAGGAAAGTCCATTGCAGCCAGGGCAGGTCAGAGCCGCAAGCTGCTTTGCAAAACTGACACGACGGATTGATGTCACAGGTGGCGCCCACGTACCCGGTCAACAACGTCTTTGATTTGCTTGCAATTTGGCCGATGTTGAGCACTGTTCTGTGCATTTGTATTGCAGCTTGCCATTGAGCCTCCTCCACCTTGTGATCATGATAGTGAGTCTGGCAGGAACACCAGCTGAACTCCATTGAAGTGCAAGTGACGCTGGTCGATCGCAAGCAGGCTGGTACGTACATTTCCCCACGCACCATCATGTGGCAGGTTTTGATAGTTTGCGTTTTGTTTTCATTCCTGTACTCTTTCAGCCTCTTTGCATCGATGGCGTCGTCATGAACGGCCATTGGGGGGCATATCGGCACAGAGCTCGGCAGTCAACTATAGCCTTCTGCTGGGAATTCTTGCTGTAGCAAGGCCTGCAACGGCGCAGGTGGCTGCAAAGAAGCTTCGTTTTTCAGCCAATAGATGACGCGTCTTTGCGAAGCCAGGTTCAGGAGGGAGTCCGGGAGGAGAAGCCAGAGGCTTGAAGCACGTCGGGCCCTTCAGGCAGGGTCGGAGTACTGTGGGAATTGCAGGACATCGCTCTTTCCAAAAGTCCAGCGAGCTTCGCGACTGCCGTGACCAAGGAGATTCTGAGCTGCATCTTTGCGGTTTTAAGCAGCACTGCGATGCGCTGAACACAGGAGCTCCAGATGGATCTGCGATGGACCCAAAGCCACGTGACAGGCCTGACAGAGGTTTGCTGTTTCCACTGAGTTTCCACCTGCAGACCTCGTGACGGATGTGATCATCTTGCAAGGAATCATTGCACAAGCCTTTGACCTGAAGTCAGTCATGTCCGGGGCCCTGGAATCGACATTCAAGACGAGCACTATGCTCGAATCCGAGCTTTGTGGCAGTTCTCGGGTTTCGCTCCACAGGACGCCAGCGTCGACTTCTTCCCCGGACCATGAGACCTTCTTGTGGTTCGCTCCCCCTGGGCCTGCATCTTCGAGTGCTCACTGTGGGAGCCCCCGTCGCAGGCTTTTCCAGTCCTCGCCATCGAATGGAGAGGACCGTGGGAGGGAGCGAGGTGCTGTTGTTGACCGAGGAACACTTTCAGGATCTTTCACGTGTTGGCGAGAGAACTCGGCCAAGAGAGAGAACCCGCCCTTGGAGAAGTGAGAAGTATGACAAGCCACAAGCAGTCAAAGATCACGACCATGCGATTCAGGGGTCCTCGAACCATGGTCAGCTTGTGCTTTAGTGCGAGGGAATGTCGATGAGAGCGGTGGCATCTACCTGCAACCCTGAATAACCCTGATATTATAAAGATGGAAATTCGTGGCAAAAGGAGGCAGAGGCACCCAGCAGAAGAGATGGAGCCGGCGGGCAGAACTTGGAGTATACCCGCACACAGATATCAGCAACACCGTCCAGTCGGGCCGCACTTCGGCAGGCAGCGAAGTATTAGGTACAGCGAGCGTAATCACATGGTACCGTGTCTTTGAGTCCTGATGTGCGAGGAGCCGATTAGCACGAGCATACATGCTCGATCCACGCTGAAGGCCTTCAATGTCGGGTGTGTCGATGCGACAGTATGCGATCACCTGGCAACTCGTGTTCATCCGCTTACATCGTGAAGGACATTCAGCGGTATGCTCCATATGTGTCACCAGCAGGAGGCACCGTGCTGCTGCAAGGAGATGCTGCACTAAGTGGCATTGCAACACCTATGCAAATCAGCTTTCAGACATCCCGACTTTCGTTTCACTGCCAGGCAAGAAACCGCTGAACCTCCATGCGGTCGAGATGCCGTATCGCGCAGGCGACTTGACCTTTGAACGTGGTGCTGCAGTCCAATCCAACTCTCAACAGCACAAGCTCTCCTTGTCACGGATTGTCGCGTCGAAATGTTTTGCAGGGCCAACCATGACTCGAAGTAGCCACTGCTGACAGGAGCTGATGGTTTAGATTCCAACTTGTGGGCCTTCGGCGTGCGGTTTTTCGACTCTGCGGTCCGAGAGGTGCAGAAGATCGCTGCATCCGCTCTTGATGAGATGTTGTAAATCTCTTAGTGTCCGGATCGCAGGTTGGCAGCGCGATTTGTTATGTGAATCCTGGCAGTGGCACAGTGGAGGTGAGGCGTATGCTGCGTATGCAACGCTTTGCGAAGCGAAAAGTGACAGGACTTGCTAAGAGCAGCCGAGCCCCACATCGAGCCTGTCGGAGCCCTCGACTCCGCCTAGTCAGTAAAGCGACAGCGCAGCGCGCAGCGCCGCTAAGGACTGGAAGATTTCTGGTCCGCTACGTGCAATGGAGGTCATCGACGGCATGGCAACTCTCTGGAGGAGAGCCTGGCGGAGCTTCGCCGGTTTCTTGGGACTCGGCACCCTGTTGAGGCCCACAGAACCTCTGCGCAGTCTTCATTGCTACGGAAAGTACAACGTGCTTTACCACGCAGTGCGCATCGAGGCCGTGCTTCGGACACGACGGGCTGATCTGCTGAAAATTCCGTGCACAGCTTTTGCAAATCAGGCAGATCCTGACACGGCCTCGATGTCGCCGGACTTGCATCATGCACATCATTCATGTGTCGATTGGCATCTGCAGCGTCTGCTTGGAGATGTCGCGCTCTGGCAGGACGACAGACTCATTGAGGTGTACCACTGTGACCGTTCAAGCCAACAGGCAACAGACTTCGTCTGGAGAAGCCCTTATGAAGTGAACAGTTCGAGATACTGCTCCAGCTTCTCTTGCGGCAATTGCCAGAGCCTGGCCGTGCCATGTCGCGCTAGCCCCGTCACAAGCTGGAACCAGATTCCTGACTGACGTAGTTGCCCACCCGGCGTCCTGTTAGTCTGCCGTAGTACGGAACTCTCAGAAACTGAAGCCAAACAGTCAAAGTGGGATTAAGCAGCCTGACAGCGCCCTATGCACTTATTGAAAGCAAGACGATCCTTGCACAGCTCAGACTTGCAACTTTTCATGAACTTCCCGTGTGCCTAAAGCAAGCGACGCCCAAGAAGGAGACATGTTATGAGGAGTTTGGGAGACAGCGCTTAACGCTCACCAGTGGCTTCTCCAAAGCCCCAGTGCCTCTCTCTCTCTCCTGCTAATTGATCATTGCGCCCGCGTGCTGTTGAGAGGCTTTTGGTCAACCTTTGTTCCTTCCGGCCGCTGTCACCTCAGTCCCAGTACAGCCTGCTTTGTCTTTGCGGTCCATCACCATCCCCCGTTTGTGCGGTTATCTGCTCTGCTCAGGCACCTGGCGAGAAAGCAGGCACCTTCAAGAATCGATGTAAGGACACCAGGGGGGTGCAGGTAGCATATCATGCCGAACAGCCACAAAGCCTAGAGCAAGGAGCGACTTGGAGTGCCAGAGAACGAGTTCAAGACCTGGAGGCATGCCACAGCCTGCAAGTCAGCCCCTGTCCAGATCCATTTGTTGTTAAGGTTGGTCCGGACTGGGCAGAGGCTGGATGCACTGGGAGTGGGAGTCGGGGCTCTTTAGCGCCTAGTATCTTATGTGCAGGGCGGGGCGGCAGCATCTGAAAGATGACGACCCGCTGGATTCAGAGTCCGGGCTCGACAACAGGAAGAAATCGCTTCGCTGTATGCCAGCATTCTGCTTCTGGACACTCTTGCCAGAAGGATTTGCCTTGAGCACGTGCACCCGAATCCTAGCTGATGCCTCGGAGCGATCTCGATGGGGCAAGAGTGTTGTGAAGTCGACATGGCTGAGGTTACGCCAGAACATCAAGGTACAACAAGCCTCTGACAATCAAGTGAGAGCAGGTTCTCTGTAAATAGCAGACGTGGAGAGCGCTGCCTGAAGTTCGAAAGAGCATCAAGAAAATGGTGTCAAGTCTGTTTTGTACCGACTCTGGGAGGAGGTTGTGTAATCACACTTTTGTGCAATGCGATCTTCGACAGTCGCTACAGGCGGCGTGATCCGAATCCCTCCAGTCATCTTAGGAGAAAAAGTGGTTTGGACCTGGTGTAGTGTATTCAAAGACAGCAAGCTGCGCACACAGGTCTGACCAGGTCTGACTGGATTGTGTCGCTTCCATGGCCTCCCGGGGCCAAGAACACCAACGAAGCGAAGCGCATGAGACCAAAAGAAGCGAAGTGGGGCCCATGCAGCGCGAAGCAGCGCGAGGTTCGCGCAGTTTCGAAACTTTCTGCTTCACTTCATGGCTGAAGGCCCAGGTGCTGCACTGTCTGCTCGCTTCCTGCTCAAACAGCAGAGTGCACGGCCTAAGAGGCTGTTAAAACTCTGCTTTGGAGGACTTTTAGTCACGTTAATCTTTGGTGCAAAGAATATTGTTTTTGACATTACTTCAAGTAGGGAAGCCCCTCGGCACGATCGGGAGGCCGAAAGATAGCACAGGCGCCTTGCTGCTGCAAAGTTCAATATGTCTGCTCTCAGCCGTGGATAGCTGTGCTAGCAGATACTTCGCTCGGTCTTGATCAAGCAACGTTCTGCTTGACGCGAGCTTCACCCGGATTCTTGTCACAGGAACCATCTCATCCACGCGTTTCATTGGTGTGGACACTCGGCACTTCGATGGCTTTGCTCTTGTGCCAATCTTGCTAAGTCACCCAATCGTTGGCCTCCAAGGGATAGCAATGCGATTCGGAAGGACAGAATCTCGGCCGCAACTTCAACCCGCCCTTCCTGATAACCCCATGCCTCGAACAGTTCTCGCGAAGCGTCTCAGCGAACCGGACTCCCTTCGTTGTGACTTGGTGCCTTCCAGCAAATCTTAAAGGCTAACGATCTCTCAGGTCTCAGGTCTCAGGGATCACGCTTCGTGTCGCTTCGATGTGCCAAGGAGCCTGGAGCTGTACCAGACGTGACCCAGACGGCCCCGGGAACCGAAAGGGCGGAGAAGGCCGCGAGCCAGCATGCACCGTAAGGACCGTAAGGCTCGAAGATAGGAAGGAGATTCCCCAGCGAAGTTACGCGACGCGCTGCAGGGAGCCGCAGTGAGAGCTAGGGTCGGAGCCTCGAAAGATTTTTTAGGCTCAGACTCAGGCCCTGAGGCTATCTCAGGCTCTCCACTTCCTGTCTTTTCAGGCCTTTCCTCAATGCCTGTGGCAGCCTCTGATTGTTCGAGCTCCCTGCCCGAACTCCGCTTGACCCCTCCGATAGTTTTTGGCTGCAATGTCTTTGCAAGATTTCCGCAGTGCCAGAAGCAAGCAAATGGTCCGATCTCACCATGTGTGGGCATCGGGTCCTCTGAAGCATCTTAGTACACCCCCGCAATGTGAGTGGATGATCTGCTGCATATGGGAATGACTTCCTCTTCCCAGTGGGACGACTTCGCCCACCGGAACATTGCAAGGTTATCATGCCTTGTACTAAGGTCAGCGACGGATCCGGATCGGGTTCAGGATCTGGTGGTTCAGGATCTGCCGGCAACAGTTGGGAACAGGCCGTCCATGAGTGTTGCCGCATTCTCACGTCTTCCATGATGGCGTGATATGCACTCGCACCCATCAGGCCACGAGCTCCAGTGGTGGCAGTTGGCCTCAGCTTGATGAACTCGGATGCAAGTGAACATTGGCCTGATTGCTGCCAGTCAGGCCATTCAATCTCCTTCAAGGCTTTGGAAGTCCTCCGAGGTATTGTTGCGAGTGCCTCTGCTTGATTCTATGATTGTTTTGGAGAGACTGTTTTTGTAGTTCAGGAAGTTCGGGAGACCGGAGCTGACAACTTATTGACTATGTCTCACGACCAACCAAAACATTGCCTGACTTTCGCCAGCTCCCCCCACACTGACGTGACAGGTGAGGAGTCGCCCTCGCCGAAGTTGTCGCCATCAGCAGCAGCACTTCAGTCGGGCCGAGTCCTCATTCGGCTTTTTGAGAGATGGTTCGGGATTTTGCAAAGCTTCAGACAGCCTGGATGTTGTTTGGCGTCGTTACTTATTTCGACGTTGGCACATATTGGCGAACTTGCGGCTGTGTCTTTGCCCTCCGGCTGTGGAAAAACCGGAGGACTATTCCACTTCTTGGCAAATTACAAAATATGCACGCCTCCGTGTACCGAATCTTGCTGGTGATACCTTTAAAAAGCTTCTCTAGACCTAGCTGAACTTCTGCCTCATGAACATGGCAAGAGCCACATGTGGTGTTGTGAGCAAATCGAGATTAAAGCAGCGTAGGAACGAAACAAGTCGCAGCGAGCGTATGGTACTCAGGGCGCGCCGCACAACGATGCATAACGCGTAAGACCCTGAGCAGGGCACTTTCTTTGACGACTGCCCGCGCTTTGATCTCGAGTTCCAGGTCATTCTTCCAACGTGTTTTTCCGAACTAGTTTCGCAGTGTTTTGGTGATGGGGTTGGAGAGCCCATGTGTATGCTTGTCCCGGCCCGGTGTGAGGTCGATCGACCGCTGAAGAAGTAGGACCTGCAGCTGACTGCATGCGACCCAGACGGGCTGTGCTGCACAGTGCAGAGCAACACAGTGCAATTCGTGGCCGGTCGATGCAACTCCGAGGTGATGAGGATGAGGAGCAAGCCGCATCTGCCAGTGCTCGTGTCAGGCGCGTCCGGATGCAAGAGTGTCCCAAGCAACAGAGTGCCAGCGAGTGCTTCAGTGGCATAAACGTGTGAGCACAGGCAGGCGAAAGGGCAACGAGTTTCCACAGAACACTTCGACCGACCATCCAACACGTGCGGCTGTCTTGAACTGCAGTGTGCACTGTAGTCCTTACGTTCTCAGGCAGTTTCGGTGTCCCTTATTCGCAATTCATTCACTCAATCGCGACACCTGGAAGTCGCACGATTAGAAACGTTCTCTGATGTTCTCAAATCTCGTTTCACCCCAGTCTCCCTTGCTTGCTTGTGTTACTTGTCAAAGATTGACTTGCTGTCGTCCGGCCCTGCGTCATGGTGTGGAATTGTACTGGAAGCTTTGCTTTGGAAGGTGTTGAAAGGTCAGTCTGGAGTTGTGCAGAATGCTTGGGACCTACTGCGGCACGCGTAGCATCTCCAAGCCACCGACAGAAGCAAGCAGTCCACGTCGCAGTTTCCAATTATGCTGCACATGGAACAGCTACAAACGTGAAAATATGTGCCAGGTCCACCACAAGCAGCATGCATGCCATTGAAGATGATGACTTCCACCCGAGACCAGTCTCGGCACGAAGACCAGACTACAAGTGTGCTATCAGGTGAGCAGCTGAAGATGGCTTGCAGGAGAAAGCAAGAACAAGCCTGCATTTTCAGCCCTTGATCCATGGCAACGTGCTGCTTGTCTCAACCAGGCCAAGCTGTTGCAGAAGTCAGAGGAACTGGAAGCCAGTGTCAGCCAGTTCCGAACACGATGATTCTCTTGACCTCAGACTTCTTTCAAGTTAAACAGGTACGCAGGAACTTCACGGTAGGATGGTTGCTGTGTAGCCCCCTGGCTATCACGCTCTACTCGCCCTTGTCGAGTGCTGTCAGGAAAATGCACCTTCTGAAGCGCAGTTGCTGCATCATGCTTGAAGCTTCAATTCGCGAGCTGGCAGGGCCAGCTGGCTGTTGATTTGGTGCCACGAGTGCGAAGCCTAGAGTGCAAGCCGTCGGCAGCTTTGTGCTTCAGTGGGAGATACCTGGCAGTCAAAATGCAGTGATTGCAACCAGCTTGTTGTATGCCTTATCAGATCTGTTCAATATTTGCACTTCTCCTTCGTGTCCAGGGCTCACGTCTTACTACCTCTACTATGCTGTCGACACACATATGAAAACGCACATGTGCAACATATGGATACATATATACACGTGCATGTATGTGCATCGACTTTGGCAGGTTAGGGTGCATGCATGACTTCAAGACCTGCAAACTTTTGATTAAGCCACGCTGACATACATGTGTGACTACATCGTTTTGTATGTATACACGTGTATATACGTACATATATATATATATATATATATACATATATATATATATATAAATACACACACCTTGTTTGTGTATACGTATGTTGCTTTGCCAGCTTGCAAAAGTTGGTTCGTAGGTCATTGCATGCAGCTGCCTTTTGCTGACACATTTCTCGTACCTTGCGCCGCGTGCCCCATCGTTCCTGTTGTCACTGTAGTCGTTCCGCTCGCTGGTTTACTTCGTCGGCTCCGGCGGCGGCCATTCGGCTCAGCACGCCAGCTGCCAGGTGGAGGAACGAGCGAAGCAAGCCGCGGTGAACCGTATGAAACGGAAGGAAACCGGTTGTGCCATCCCAGCCAGGACGCACGGCCAGCACGAATTCATGCAGAGCACGTTCGACATCATACTGACCCCTGATGGAATCGAAACGAGCACGCGAAGATGATGGAAACAGCGCGTGAGGGACTTCGCTATCTATCGCACAGGTCCGAAACATGGCATCAGGATGTGCCCAGGACACCCGATTGGAAGGCGCAGACAACAAAAGGACCAGCACTACATCCCGCAGAATGGGAAAGAGGATTGCATTTCAGTGTTGGCTAGGATGCTTCCGCTGCGAAATTTGGCGGTAGACATTTATTGAGTGCTTCATAGGACGCATTTTGCTTGACGAAGGTCTTTGTGTGTACGGTATGCGTCCATGCAAGCGGCCCCAGACAAACCTGCAGTTAAGCCTGGCAAAAGGTGGGTTTTTGCACGAACGTGCTCGAAGCCAAGAGAGTGGATTGGGAACGGTCTGGAATTAAAGGCAACGTGTTTTGCCTGAGACCGTATCTGCGCTGAAGCGAATGCACAGCACAAAGTCGTCGAGGCGGTTTTTTAGATACTTTTGTATCTGTTAATGCGCAGTG